CTTGTCCACCAACTGGGCAGAAGCAAAGGACAAGACTTACGATACGCAACCTCCTGATTCTATGGAGGCCAAGAAGTGGGACAAATAACTGATGCCCATAGGCTCTCCAAACACAGCTACGAAGTGAGATGTTGAAGAGAGTATCTTCCCTATTAAATTGAATTCAGCACGGAGTTATGGTTGAGAAATGAAATTTGAGATTTATGGTAGCGAAAAAGGAATGTCCTTAGAATTAAGAAAATTTGAAAATAAAAAACCTATATTACTATGTATTGTCGCCACTCTTTAACTGGACTAGCTATTGATTGTCGGATTGTCAACCACAGATATCGAGCTGGCTCCTTCGTCGTCTTCAATTGTTAGACTTAGATGAGTAGCCCCTCGCATCTCACAGCTAGGTATATTAGTGATTAACCTGCTGCCAAGATTTGTCGATGATTATCTCTCTATTTGCATCCCATATTAATAAAATTGAAGCAGTGTCACAAAATGAGTTGGGGAAATTTCACGCAATATAGATTTGAAGTAATAGTTAGAGCACCAAAAGTAGATTGTATTTAAGAAGAGAATTATAGTAAGTATGAAAATATAAATGAAGTTTCTTGCACAACGATGGGCGTGCGCAAAAGTATGTCCCCACCGGCCTTCCGTTCGTATATTCCTGGTTGTCTTTGTGTGGCGTGTAGTATGAAACTGGGAGTTCGGGCTGTGTTGTCTTTACTGCCTCGCTCGAAGTGAGGTGAGTAGTCTGATGCCACAACGTTAGCCGCTCTGTCTGTAACCTTATTACAGTACCCGCCGAGTGTCTCGAGTGATGTGTGGGTGTGTATGTGTCTGTCTGTAAGGTTCATGAGGGACTTACTCAAAACACAAGCATGCCCCTGATGCCAAGCGGAGATTCCGCGGCACAGCTTAGGCGGGAGCCGCGCAGTTGACACCGGCCAGGGTGGCGAGGACCATATCGCAGCACACGGCAGTGTTGCCAGTGGCGGCGCAGGCGTTGGTGAGGCCGACATTGCTGAGGGTGGTGGATTGAGCTGTAGATAAGCGTTGGATGTTAGCGGATCAGGTCCTCACAGGATTGCTTCTTGTTCTCTCTGTGAGAGTGTTATTTCGAGGGGATCGGGTAGGGCTCAAGACTTACTTTCGCAGGAAAGAGCGGCAAGGTTGAGGACGTTGAGCTGACAGCAAGCAGGGGTTCTTCCGGGGCAGGCAGGGCCATTGCCACCGTTGCCGCCTCCGTTGCCGCCGCCATTGCCGCCTCCGTTACCACCACCGTTACCGCCGCCATTGCCGCCGCCGTTGCCACCACCGTTACCACCGTTACCACCGCCATTGCCGCCTCCGTTGCCGCCTCCGTTACCACCACCGTTGCCGCCGCCATTGCCGCCTCCGTTGCCGCCTCCGTTGCCGCCTCCGTTGCCTCCGCCATTGCCGCCGCCATTGCCGCCGCCGTTGCCACCACCGTTACCTCCGCCATTACCATTGCCATTGCCATTGCCATTGCCATTGCCATTGCCATTGCCATTGCCGCCGCCGTTTCCGCCATTGCCACCATTGCCGCCGTTGCCTCCGTGGCCACCGTTGTTGCCGTTGTTGCCATTGCCGGCATTACCGCCGTGGCCGCCGTTGCTTCCGTTGCCGCCATTGTGGCCGTTGCCACCGTTGCCTCCGTGGCCGCCGTTGCCGCCGTAGCCGTAGTCGCCGGAGTCGTCGTAGCTACCGGGCAAATCGCCTGTGGAGTAGTCACGGACGGCCGGGGGTGCGGCGATGGCAAGAGTGGCCAGGGCGCTGATGAGTGCGAAGCTGAACTTCATTTTGAAATATTATAAACAACTTTGTAGTGGTGATTAAAAAGAGTGTGAATGTATTATTGCAAGATGAAGAAGGATGTTGCAAGAACGAGTGAAAGAACTACTATTCTTTTTTGGTCAGTTCCGAATGAATGAATGTGTGGATAGTAGATTGTTGATGAGGAGGAAGATGGTGCTGATGGAGATGATGTGAAATAGTCCTGAGTTTGTGGAGAAAGCAAGGCCTACTTATACTCATCTGTCTGATCGACGGCCGGCACATAGAGGCTGCGAACCAGGAAAATGTTGACTGCAGCATCGTAAACTTAGAATGAGGCATCGCGAACACGGCGCCTAAGCGATGAACCCACAAGGGTAACGTTAGTCTCTGATGCCAGGGATCGAGAGACATGGCCAAGTGTGTTGCCTCAGCGGAAGGCTATGGCAAATCCAACATTCAGATCTTTACCATGTAGACACGCGCACGGTGCGCACGGTGTTGACTTTACCTGGTTATGCTTATCGTATCAATGACGAGCCTTGCCATGCACGGGGGTAATTTGGCGCCGCAATGGCTGAGACAAGTCAGCTAGTTAAGCACGGGGTTGTACTTTGCCGTGTTTTTTTAAATACACGTTGAGACCTCGTTAGTCCCTTGTCTAATTAGCCTCACCCGGTACTAGTCGAGACATACAGGAATAGCTCACAATGGCTGGGGGCAAAAAGCCCCAACGAGGGGTCTCAAAGTTACCCCAGAAATCAGGACCGGGTTCAAGGGGTATTTGTCGATCCCTACGTCTAGACCTTGAGATAGATTTTTGGTTGGGAAAATATACCAAGAAGGCTCCCTAGATTCGGAGTTTAGGTTCGAAGTAGTGGCTGACATCAAGGGAGTATACGCCAAGTTTAGCTAAGCGGGTATAGGGCCTCGACCTCGCAATGAGACGAGACAACCCTAAAGTTGCTTCTTGCAACCGGACTTCTGCTGTTTATTTACCGTCAATTAATATCTCTCGGTCCGACAAACTTGTCAATTTTGTAATCAAGGTAAGAAAATCATGACGTCCACAGACGATGCATATGCAGGAAGTTGACGAAATGCACAAACTCCAGATTTCTTTTACTCTGTCCAATAGGAACAGCAATAGTAGTTTCATCCTTCATGTAAATGCAAGACCCTTGAGCTCACAACTCCACCTATTGTCTCTAGTCTTGGTAGAGTCCGATTACTATGAGTGTTGTAATTCATCCATCGGCCAAGAGCGTAGTTTACCGGGGGGCGCTCGAAAGGTGACTAGCTATGGCGCGTGGCGTACGCAGGAACCCTCGAGACATCGCCACACAAGCCTCGTTTATACTGGCGCCGTTTCTTCTGCCTATGTGCCGCTGCGCTGTCGCCAAGCCAGCACTACTCTCTCGGATCGTCGCGGCATGATGTACGGTCCGAAAGCCTCTTTTTAGTAGGAGGGGCCAATTTGCTTGGACTCGTCCGAAAAATGACGGTTGCTGCCCCCTTGGTTGCTGCCTTACATTCGAAAGCAAAGAGCCCAACTGCAGGAATTTCGGCTGCATGGTCCGGCTCCGTACGTTTCCGGGAGCTATTCTATGCGGTTGCGCTGCGGTGCAAACCGGCCCACCTGCTTCTGCCCACAAGCGCATAGCAGTAAGCCAACACACCACGTCAGTACAACAGGGGAAGAAACCAATGCTTATTTCTCGCCTCGTAACAAGGTTACAGCGAAATACGCCCGGCGCCCCTTCTCGTGTATAGAGAACCCCTGCAGCCAACGGATTTTCTGTGGCCTAATGCTTCCAGGACAAAAAGTCCGATATTCCTCCATAGTGTATAGTTCAGACGTGATTGGTGGTGCTCTCGAACTTCGTGATCATTCTTACATACTTTATCCAAACTTAGGATCATCTCACTGGACTGGCATTGAGTACTGTATCATAAAGACTCTACGATAACTAGAGTTCAGTATCGTTAAACTAGCCATGGCGTTTTCGTGGTGGCAAATCAGCCGTACTTCACTGCTGATCCCACGTTCCCCTGTTGGAAGTGCCCATGGTATAGTCTGAGAGCATTGATGCAGTATCAAATCATGTTGGTTCCTCGGCGTATGAGGCAAAGTAGAGTTTCTGGGGAGGGTATTTCTTTTCTCGGGTTCCGCACATAGTGTACAGCACTACTCCGTACCGAGGAAACCCTTAGATAGTTCATTTCCTCATCAAGCAGGAGAACTGTAAAAGTTTCCCGGTCATTCGTCGACTCGTGTGCATCATGAGGCGTAAACACAGCTGGGAGTGAAACGTATTTGGCGTAACAGGGGTTCATCGTTGGGGGTCTCAGTTGTGCTGCGGCTGCTCGACCATCCGACCCGCCACCGGAAATACTCTTGACATGAACTGTCCGAGCCTATGGAGATGATGTAGTCGAATTTCCTTTGACCTTAGTTTCTCGAGAGAAAAATAAAAAGAAAAAGGATTGCCAAGGTGCTTAGGGATGAAATTGATTTCATTTTCAGACCATCAATTAGTGTATTCGGTCAAATTTTACTCCCAAGTGAGGCTGCCTGTTCAACATATTTCCTACCTGCAAGACTCCCAGCTAAAAGGACTTGAAATTGAGCAGAGGGAGCAAGCGGGAGAGATTGATTGGTCCTTCGCCCGGTTGGTTACTCTCGGCCGAAAATATACATTAGTATGTCATGCAGCATCTGGTGTAGCAAATTCGACCGATGGGCTGGGCTTGCGCAAAACAGTAACAGCCACGGCTTGTTTTTGACGCCAAGCGCCGGGGTCAGGCGTTGCCAGGGTCTTGGTAGCAACCTCTGGAGACTTCACCAAGGCTACGTTTTTGTCTTTGATGAAACAACCTGTGTGCCCAGTTACTAGTTGTCAACCTGAGTTGAGAGGGAAGCCTCGGACGCGTCATCTCGTTACCATCAAGAAGCCGTGGCTTTTCCCCAGATGCAGGGCCAGCCCCGTAGGCAAGACCAAACTTCGATTCACCCTGACTCAACCAAATCCATACTTTTGGTTAGCTCGGGATTCCCACAATCTGGGCCAGACCACTGCATGACCGACAAGTAACTACGCAAGATTATGGTATCGCACACGCACACGCACACATATAGTACCCACAAGAGATTCTGTGCCTGTGTGTCCACACATATATATGGCGACAGCATGATTAGGGCATCAATTGCTCCCGTGGCGCAATGGTAGCGCGTTAGACTTCTATTCACCAGTGATATCTAAAGGCTGTGGGTTCGAGACCCACCGGGAGCTTAACTATCCTTTTTGACGGAACGTGTGGGTAGCCTAGTGTCTCAAAACTCCATTTTTAAAAACTTTTTTTTTCCGCGCTCGCTATTTTCTGCCGAGGTCTGACGCAAAACTTTTTTTTCTTCTTGGCTTCGAGATGTGATTTGTCCTCTCACCATTAGGTAGTAGGGGGATATAAACATATTTTCAGGAAACCTAAGTCAGAAATGTCTCGGACACAATTTCAAGTAATCAGGTGGTGTGACTTACGTTGTGACCGTGTTCTGGCGCTAAATTTGGGCTTGTTACTTGGATTTACCTGATTCGTAAACCCCAAATAAACCCATCTGGGTTCCCATCGTGAATCGGTCAAATTCATATTTCGTATTTCGTGTCACATCTGACGCTGATGGACCTAACAACGGATGTGGTACACTCAGCTCCCCATAAAAGACGACAAGTACATATCGAGGATTGCCCAACTCACTGCACTATCCATTCAATGATGTCAGAATCCATCCCGTTCTCTTCCATCAACCCATGGCTGATGACCTCACCAAAGTTATAGCTCGCTGTGGTAAACCAAATCCCATGACGAGTTGGGCTTGTATCCAGCGATGACCTCTGATTGGTTTAATGGCATATATTGTTGTCCTTGTGCTATAACTGAGAACAATAATGTGGCGTCTAAATAGGAATATTCTCTTAGCATTTCGATGTCAATTGAAATGTCGTGGAATATTTCGGAAAAGGTTGCATTTAAGGTTTACCAGGACTGAGATGGAAATGAGGACACTAGGGCAAACAACTTTCCTCGCCTCTGAGATGGAGCTGCTCTCATGGTCTGCTGTGATTATCCTTGTCGAACCTTAGCAGCCATGCGCCTGGATACCAAAGATCTGCACGTCGATTGGCTATCAAGTGTTTCAACTGACCGTGTTAAGGTGGGTATATTTACCAGATGGTAAGATGCAATAGTGTATATAGCAAAGATCCTGGTAAATCTGTAAGCTTTATACTGATGCCAAGACTACATAGTTAGCCACTTTCCACAGGTTTGCATCACTATTAAAAAGACCGATAATTTCCAGAGACTAAAACTAACAATCTCACTCAGATGTGATTGGCCTAGTTGTGGTAACTGCGGCTGACTGCATATAGAGACCTTGCCCTCTATACCTTGGTCGTCAGGCCCTGCCTAAAACCCCGCTTGCGGATTATCACAATCCTGTCGAGGCTCCCCAGACTACCTACTTAGTCCATATCGAAACTACACTCAAACTTGGTGCTCTGTATTGGTCTTACCAGCACCTGGGCCATCTGCAGCCCCATCGCCCACCTCGCGCTCACGCGCCCACCCGACACCCAACGACATGGACTGGCACGACAGCTCGTGCACCCGCCTGGACCTTGCGACCTTTGGCGGGGGGGCCAGCTGCCTCAGCTGCGGCTCCGTCGGCCCGGCGCCGGGCCCGGCCTTGCCGCCGCTGGCGGAGCAGCGCTCCGAGATCCGCGTGCTGAGCGTGCGCCCGGGCCGGTTCGCGGACCCGGTGGTGTGCGACATCGCGATCGCGAGCCTTAGCGCGCACCCAGAGTACGACGCCATCTCGTACACGTGGGCGGACGAGAGCGGCAGCGCCGCGGCCAGCGCCAGCATATCGGTGGGCGGGCGGCCGCTGGCGGTGACGCGCAACTGCGAGATGGCGCTGCGCCGCGCGCGCATGGAGTTCACGGCGCGGCCCGTCTGGATCGACGCCGTGTGCATCGACCAGCAGGACATCCGGGAGCGCGGGCAGCAGGTGGGGCTGATGCCGCGCATCTACTCGGGCGCGCGCAGCGTGCTCATCTACGTCGGCGAGTCCACCCCCACCAGCCGCTTCATCCTGGCGCAGCTCCGCCGCGGCTCGCCGGGGGATGTGGTGCTGCCGCTCGGCGACAGCAACTGGACCGAGTTCCTGTCGCGGAGGTACTTCAACCGCGTATGGATCCTGCAGGAGGTCGCCCTGTCGCGCAAAGCCACGCTCATCTGCGGTGAGGATGCTGTGCCCTGGAAGCTCATGCACCCTAAGCGGCTGAGAGAGTTCGCGTACGGACCGCCCGAGCTCGTAAGGCACCTGCTGCCGCCGGTCTTTTACTTCGACTACACATCTTACACCAGCCCCGACAGGTTTCTCGACTTGCTGGAGCTCACGAAACCGTGCCACGCTACCGATCCTCGCGATAAAGTATTTGCTCTCTTGGGGCTGCTGCCTTCGGGCCGCATCGGAACGCTGGGCGCGGACTACAACCTGTCCCTGGAGCAGGTGTACACTCAAGTCGCTCTGTACTTAGCTGCTCACGTAGGGTGGAGCGCAGTACTCGCCCGAGCTGGTCGCAGTCGTTACTCTTACTTGGAGCAGGATAAGCTTGACGTACTACCTTCCTGGGTCCCCAACTGGAGCATTACCCAGCGGGATGATTCATGGAGAAGCCTGAGTCTGGCGAAGCACAAAACCTCTGGCGACAAATGGGAATTATTACAGCACAATGATGCAAACAACAGCCTTTCCCTTAGATTGCTCCGTATTTCTGCACCATTTGATCAATGGTATACTTGGGATGAGCATATGGCCGCCTTGATTGGCTCGTATCTCTGTTTTCCAGCTGATGGAGATATGGGAATTATAGCACAGGCCCGTTACGATCGGTTTTGCGGACAGTACGACCACCGTAAACTTTGGACACGATCGACCTTGCCTATTGGTCGCTTTCCTGTCAAACCTCTCAGCTTACGTCTCGAGCGCGTTGTCGATATGGAAGACCAGTACTACCTCGACAGCTTCGACTACAACGAAGAACCGACTATCCAACTCCTTTGCGTCTCGATCGACGCAGCGGCCCAGATTTTTACTCTTCGTCCAAACGATCCCGATCTGGAAGACTTGGAAAGAGCTGTAATCTCTGCTAATAGATCGTGGCCGCGCAACCAGAATCGACGTATAAACCTAAAGGTCAATATCGCAACCCACGATGCCGGTCCTTCGGAACTAGAAAGCTTTTGGAAGAGCAAATACACAGCCGGGGAGCTTGAAATTGTCAATTCAATCGTGGATGATGGTGACAGCATTATGTTTGAAGATACCGATTCAGTGATATTTGGTGATGAGCTTGGTGAGGATGGTGAAATTGCCAATTCACCTGTTGATGAGGCTGACAACATTATGGTTGGAGATATTAATGCAGTGAGAGGACATGATGAGCTTGTCGGGTTGAATGTTGATCTGTGGAAGTTCCTTGTACGATGGTACATGCTGAGGGATAATCTAATAGAGATAATATAAGATGTTTGGGTCTCTTTGGGAATTTTACCAAGATTATTTCGGATTTACAGTGGCAATCAAGTTAAATGTGATAATTAGGATTTTGTCGAATTTACTTAAATTCCATCATGACATCTTCATGTGATGCAATATATACCGAGTAAAAATCAAATGGCCAACTCACGGCATTGAGCTTTTTATTATTATTATAGATCAGGTAACATAAAGGATTTTCGGGTTGCATTTTAAATGACCACGTTGGAAACTTCAAAAGTCTGAATGGTTCCCGTGTCGAAATAAGACCAGAACTTGGTGCCTGAGATGACGGTGTCCGAAGGTGAACTGACGTACTGATCGCCGGATCCGATGTCCGTGCTCCAGCGCGGCACGGCGGCGCCGCTGACGCCCGGCGTGGTGAACTCGGACAGGTCGAAGTTGATGTACTGGGCGGCGCCCCAGTTGACGGCGACGATCACGAGCTTCTTGGCGGTGGCGTCGTAGGCGGCGACGGTGTAGTCGCTCCCGGCGTCGAGGATGACCATGCCGGGCCTGATGTGGCGCGTGAACTGCGCCAGGGCGAAGTACTTCTGCTCCGCGGCACCCAGGGTGAGCTTGTCGTTGTCGCCGACGACCAGGCCCCAGCCCGTGACGTCGATGGTCTGCCAGTACACCCAGGCGGTAGGGTGCAACCACCGGAAGTCCAGGATGAGGTTGCTCACCAGCGAGCTCCCCGTGGCGTCCGAGTCGCCGTACTCGCTGTTCCACAGCTTCTTGGCCCCGGCGACCGCCAGGTTGTAGAGCCCCACCCGGTCCCCGGAGCCGTCCTCGTAGCCGTGCACGTTGATGCGGCCGACGTCGCCCTTGGCGGTGGTGCCCAGGCTGTTCCAGGTGCTGATGGCCTGGTCGTACGTATTCTCGTCCGAGGCCGAGATGATGGTAGAGGTGAGGCCGCGACTGTTCAACTCCGTCCGCAGGTATGGAATCACCGCAGCTTGAGTGGAAACATCGAAGTGACAACCCTCCTGAGTCCCTGTGGAGGACCACCACGTCGCAATCGGCTCGTTAAAGGCCTCAACGGACTGGAAGGTTATCCCCCAGTTCTGCTTTGCGTATGCTGCAATGCTGGCTAGGTAGATGGCGTGGCTATCGTAGTTCCAGGACTGCAAGTTGTCATCTGCTCCGCTGTCAGCCCCAGAAGGGTTGTGGTTGTAGCACATCCACCACATGGGGGAATTGGAGAAGAGCTCGAAGATGGTCGCCCCGTTCGCCTTTGCCTTCAGCAGCATCGCCCGCTGGTTTGCGTCTGCTGTCCAGTTCCACGACGAAGAAGTAGGATCGGTGCTCGCCCAGTCCTGCCAGAAGCCTTCCATTTGCCTCGATGCTAGAATATTGGCTGACTCAACCATTGTGTCTCCGTCATAGGTGTTCCAACTGCTGGCACCCGCATTGTACCGTACAATATTGAGCTGGAGACCTGGCAGAGACTGCCCATTGAGAGTGGTTGTATCAGCGGTAAAGAAGAGATCGGCCAAGTCGTCCCTATTACCGAATGCCTTGGCCCACCATGCTAGCGAAGTGCCCCAGCCCTCCCAAGTGCCCCAGTTGGATTTTGCATTTATAGTTGTGGTGACATCTGCCAGCACCGGCGTGGTGCTGATAGTCGCGCAGAGGAGCACGGAGACTGTTTTGAAATGCATGACTACCACGTCAATGAACGAAGGGAAG